CTTGAGTGCAGGCAAGTCATGGGCTCACCTCCTGCAGAGAAATGAGGCAGGCTCTGAACATAACCTTGTACACCTCTGAACAAAGGTGTTAGTTACTCTGTCTGATGGCGAGGGAAAGGTGGAGTTTGGCCCTGACAGCAGCACTGGCACCTGCTGCCCAATGTCGTTTCCATGAAGAAAAAAGAATATTTGAGATGCAAGTGCAGCCTCTGTGCTTGGGAGGGCTGGGTGATGGGCACCCAGAGACCTGTGCTCTCTCCATTGAGGGATTTTGGGCTGTCCTCTAAATCTCAGCCTGTCAGAAAGCTTGGGCTGTGCAGCAGGAAGGCAGACAACACCTAAAACCTGAGCACTGTAGTATTTTGTTAATGATTATAATGTTGTTAATAACAATCGTCAGTAATGCTGTTTGCACTGCAGTAAAGCCCAGATGGCCCAATAAAAACCAGCAGCACTCCAGGGCAAACTGTGGCTCAGTGACTCCTTAGCATCTTTTCATCACTTACCATAAAGACAACCTTCAGCACTCACAGCTGGGGGATGTTTGTCTCCCCGGGGTCCTTCTGGTGGCTGTGTGTCTTTCTCCATTTAAATGAGCTCCTGGACATGTTTGCATGGCAGGATCTTTAGGGCTTGTGACACAAGCAGAGTCCCCAAAGAGGGAGAAATCATCTCCATGCTCTGAGTATTCTCTATGCAATTGCAGAAGCAAAATCTGCTTTGCCTTCTGCCCTGGCTGAGAGTGCAGCACTGGTGCTGATGGTGTCTGATGGAGAGCAGTGCTGGGGCTCATCCCACTGCTCCCTTCCTGTCTGCAGGGTGGCCATGGCTGCAGCAGGGCAGGATGCTCTGCCTGGAGGAGGGAAGCAGGCTGGGCCAGGGTGTGCTTGCTGCTGGAGAGATTGGCCTGGCTACGTGTGTGACCTTCACTGGTGACATCTCCACGGTCAGTCGTGGCTGAGGGTGCAGCTCACAGGCACTCTGCCTTCTGCTAGGATTTGGTGATACTCCTAACTTATCAATATGTTTTAAAAGTTGGCAATGTCTCTGTTTTCTGTAATGATTTAGGACTAATTTTTCCATTTTTGTTTTTTTTAAGTATTTTTGTTCCTGAGAGAGTGTTGAGACTTTGCAGACCTGTCCCTGTGGTTTCAATGGCTGCAGCAGAGGGGCCCTGGCAATGCTATCAGCCACCTCCATGCCCTAAGTGCTGTAACAACTGTCCCCAGACCCCTGGATAACTTTGGTGCTTTATTCCAGGGCTCTAATTAACTTCCAGGTAATAGGCAGTACTCGATTAAAATAACAGACTGCTGTTCTATAGCAGTATACCTGGTTCCTCTGTTGGCTCATTTTC